CTTCGTCTCTTTCTTCTTTTCCTTCAAAGGAAAGTGGGGTACTCTACTCAGTCTACACTAAAGCCAAGTCAAGTAATTCATAAAAACAGAAACTTAAAAGTTACCGCTGTAGCAAGGAACTCCTTCCTGAAAGTGAAAACTGAAAATGGGTATTCTTAATATCTGTAACAGATGAAATTAAATCGTGCCTTATGCTCCAACCCATAGATGTTTTTATATCACTCGAAAAGAACTTTCAAACTTACAGCTTACAGGAAACGTGTATCCATAGTTACAATTTTGAATAAAGTATTGGAAGACACGCTGTGTCGTAGTCGGTTGAGACACTATGCTTCAAGTCGGATATTCTCAGGCTCGAGTCCCGATAAGGTCATTTGATTTATTCAGTTTACTTTATCCTACAAGTCGCACTACTGCCCTGAGGTCGACTCAGCTTCTAGCAGAAATGAGTACTAGGAATCTCCCTCTTGGTGAAGGGTGCCCGGCGCTTAAGGCTGACAACCTTACTGCCATCTGTGAGCCGATTACCTAGACATTGTGGGAACCTTGACGTCTCACAACCCTTTGGGCCCTCACAGCCTGTTACAGGGATACCTTTACCTTTACCTTCTTCGTTTAAAGAAATCACGAAGTTTGAAACTTAAATTTGTTTCTCATTAAGACATTTCTGCGGCTATTTAAACATTACAGATTTCTTTTCGGAGGAAAAACGTAAGTGCCTAGAATTACGCCCACAAACACGCGTGATAAGAAATTGGAAAACAACCCCTCTTTACTCAGAATGTTATGTATGGCCAGAAACAAATGGCATACGGATTTACAGCCTTCATGTCTCTCCTTAAACAATGTTGAAGCTATGTAAGATTTGAGGCTTTCACGGCGGTGACTATGAAGAAAGCAGTCTTCTGGGATTTGGCACCGTGTATATGTGGTGTTAACCGACGTTTCGGAGGAACGTATCGCCCCCATCTTCAGGGTTGAAGAAGTATAGGTAAATCTGCAAGCGACAACACCGTGAGACAC